GAGAATGAGAAATCAGAGCGTTGTAGTTCGACTACGGGAAAGGTTGGGAAAGTGTGGACGGAATAATGGAGGAAGATAAAAGTGTGCTCGCCAAGATCATCGCAATCTTGTGCCTACGTATCTTATATTCAAGAATGAATAAAGAATCAGAGCGTCTGTAGTTCGTGGTAACAACCACGAAAAGATGAGGTTGAACAGGTTGGAAGTTTGAGAAAGAGACGAAAGAGTGACTAACAAGCAAACCAAGAGCGCGCCTCAAGAGCTTGTCATTCAAAAATTCAAGGAATGCGGGATTCCAAGAACTCAGTTCTTTTGGGAATTGACTGAATAAATTGAAGATAAAGAGTTGGACGTTTTGGAATCGAAAGAATGAACTAATAACAACTCAAGGGCGCACCTTGAGAGTTACTCATTCGAATATTCAAAGAATGCTAGATTCTGAGAATATCCCTCTTTCGTAAGTTTTAAAAATGTTTGTGAAAAGATTGAATCGAAAAATGGCATGCGAGGCCAAAGGAAGTTGGTTTAAAGCGGCTCGATGACGTGTCGAGGATTTGTTTGAAAATGAAATCGACTTGACGACGTGTCAAGGGTTAAGATTGTGAGAAACGATATTAGTCCCTGTGGGTGCCCCTAATATCGAAACCACGAAGAATTGTGAAGTGTGTGCAAAATGTCGATGGTTGCGAATGCGTACGAGCATTCGACTTAGGAGAACATTGGAAAATGTTTGAAAAAGCCGAAAGATTGAATGAATCATAACTCAAGGGCATGCCTCGAGAATTATTCACTCGAAAATTCAAGGAATGCTAGATCCCAAGAACCTCCTTCTTTCGGAATTTAAATTGAGAAAAAATTTGAGAAAATAATTTGAATTGAATCGAGGGTATGAAAATAATTTAGGAGAAGTGATAATTGTTTGATAAATGAGACGTAGGCCTCACAACCAATTAATTGGGGGTATTATCGAAATGCTAGATCTCGACGACACCTTTTTCATTTGGAGAATGTTTGAATGAACAACGGAAATATCACACGGAATGCTAGATTCTTACGATATTTCTTTGTCCAAAAGAGAATGCTAAAACGAAAAGTCAATCAACACGTTATTTAAGGTGTACACCTCAATAATGATTGTTAAAAGAAAATCCAAGAAATGCTAGACTTCAAAGATTTAATTTGCCCTTTTTATCGAATAGGAAGAAATAACGCAAACGTAAGTGCATACCAACCATATTGACTTGAATTTAGTAAGCTTTTGGTCTTGGCTCACTTTATTTATCAAAGCTAAAAGAGAAATAGATTATTTGAACCACTTAATTAGTTTAATCTAATTTAATTATTAAAATTATTTGATTAACAACTAATATGATCAAATAATTAAATTAATTAAAATTGATTAAAAGATTAAATGATTGGAATTCAATTAATTAATTAATTATGTTAATCAAAATTAATTATCTAAATTATCTGATTAACTCAAATAATTAGGATAATTAAAATTTATTAACAAAATTAAAATAATAAGTCAAAACATAATAATCTATATCATATTAACTTCTTTTCCTTCAACTTCAGCTGCTTCCACAATTTGGGCGTAATTACAAGCAAACCGGAAATGCCACACTTGAAAAATTGGTAGAAAACGTCTGCAAACCGTTGTTGGTATTGTGTCTGACCTTACTATTATTAGTCACCGCCAAAATCATGAAACCGACACGAGCCCTAATATGAGTCTCACAAATCCAATCAAAACAAAAGCTAACACAATTGATAATCAAAAAAATTAAGGTTACAACTCTGCATAAACAACCAATTGCGTCGAGGTTCGAAAGCTAGAAATGCACAAGCAAGATCAACCGACATATGGCCATCCTTGTTCACAGTAGCGGTACCATTCTCAAACAATAACAAAATTTATAACTTAAAAGTGAAAAAATAAATCCCAACATAAGCTGTATACCAAAACGAAATACCTGAAGCTGTAATGTACAACCACAACGTTTTGAAATCCCAACAACATCTACAAAATTTTATTACTCTAAATCTCAATCAAAGTGCAAGCAATATCGAAATGCAATATAACCGACACCTTAATCGAACCAAACTACACAGACCAAGTTAATGCCGACAAGAGTCTGAACAAATATCCCATTCCGTTAACATTTTACCACTACAACATTTTTCCTCTTCGACAACAACTGAAAAATGTTGCCAGAATTGAGAAAAATGTTGCCTAAAACAATATGGGACGTTTTCCAGCCGTCCTTTGTGCGAGCGTTGCCTATTACTTAAGGGGACGTTTATGTTCGCTTTTTGACCACACTTTCATAAAACGTCCCCTAAACTATAGAAAAAGGGGACGTTTTTCCGTGACATCTTAGGCAACGTTTTTAAGGTGTTGTTAAAAATTGCAACAACTAAAAAATGCTCCCTAAAAGTGGTAGAGTGAGAACACTCTTTGAAAACGGTTTTCAAATGTTGTCATATCTAACAACAATTACCAATTGTTCCCTAAAAGTAAAATAGTGAGAACGCTTGATAAATCTTTTATAGGTTACTTAGAAACATTTGTTACCATACTTTTTTAGAATAAACAATTCAAACAAGAATTACATTAAACATAAACTGCATGTACCATAAAAGTTGTGCTAATAAAATATAGCAAAATGATAACATACATAATTTTTTAAAGTTAAATGCTTAAGCATTAACTTAAATACATAGCTTCAATCATTAACTTAAATACATACACATAATAGACACAATGTCTAACATTACTTAATATTACAAGTTTAACACGTAGAAGTATATGTCTACTAAAATACAAAATGCATAGTTTTTTTTTTAAAGTTTAATACTTAAGCACAAGCCTAAAACAACAACATCCAACTCATTTAAGTTGGTCAAACTAATCGCCCTCTTGAAATTTTTTACCTACTTCATCCTCTTAATATTGTTCACTTATGTCACCATCTCATTATCTTCATTGATACTTTACTGCATAAGAAAATGAAAACAAATCAATCTAAGACAATTGTTAAAAAAAACTAAGACACTATCTTTTTTTAACAAAAAATATATTATTAACAAGATAAAACCTACAACTAAGTCATACAATCCAAACAAGAAATGTTGCATTAATGCCTTAAAAGCATTTTGCAATCTATCAATCTTATCTTCAAAATCGTTCCTCAAATTAGAGACTTTTTCATTGTATATTTTTTTCAAATCATTAATCTCCGAGTTTGTGTATTCAATAAAAAAAATGAATAAAGGTAAAATTTTAATTATACTTTAATGTCTTAAAAAAGGTATAGGTTTAAATTGTATGTATCACTCTCAAATTAGCTATAGAATAAAAAGTGAAAGAGAATTGGCTAAAAATAAACCCACCTTTCCAAGAGGTGAAACCAATGGCTGAAGAGATATGATACAGTCCCATGGATTCTCTTTTTGAACCTGCATGACCATATATACATACATATCAATATTATCACATTTACATATTAAAGAGTAATTATTAAGATTTAACAAATTAACAACGTTTCAAACGCATGCATGATGTTATTCAAAAATAGAGAGTACGACATGAAGGATAAAAATATATACATTATTTAAAACTTAAATGAATAACTAATTAAGGAAAAATACATTAATTTGTTATCATTAATCTAGAAAAACATATTAGAGTTTATTTATCTCTTAAAAATATTATTGGTAGAGTGTTTGTTGGGCTCGATAATGGCATAAAAGTATTAAGCTTTGGAGCAACCTACAGCAATCCATAAACAAATTTAAGATGCATTCAAATTCAAAAGTATAATATTTATTGGAAAAATTAGTAAAGAAATCAATCAATATTAACATAACATACCTCAAATCTTGGAAAAACTATAACGAGCAGGGTAAAATTCTAGATTGTGATGGATGTTTCTATATAAAAATTTTGGGACAAAATAATGAATGTAAAAATTACTCTAGTTCTAGGTGGATAATTCCATCTATTTTTATAGCAGGCATTAACAAGACCTGATAAGGAAATACTGGTGAAGAGTTCAAAAGTTAAAAATGCTTATAATAAATAAAACTGAAGCTTACATGCTAACATATCCATACGAAAACCTTATGAGGCATCAACCAAAAAAAACTACATGATCTGATGATGATGACTTGATCAATTTTTTGGCTTTCAAACTAGCAGTGAAATAGTTCCCAAACTCAGGATGATTAATTGAAATTGATATGCTAAGATTATCTCTAGGATTACTTAGTTTAATGTTATAATTCCTGAGCATATCCTGCCATAGATCAGAAATATATGCTTACTGATAAAATGTAGAATACTAATTTTATTTATTGTTAGTTTTATGTATATTTCAGTTAACCATGTAAGCTACCCAAAGGGTCCTCAAATCTGCATAGGAAACGACACAATTTACATACCGTAAAAGAACTTACCTACAAAGCTTTGGCCATTAAATCAGAATGTGGATTGAAAATAAAGGCTACTCTTTCAGCCCATAGCCTATTTGTTACATGCAACAAACAAACAAATAAAATTAGCAGTTTTACTAAACTCTACTTAGTGACAATATTAATACAAATGGAATAGGACAATCTTAATTTATCAAATACTCCATTAGAGTTTAAATTACATATCCCACATAAAAGTGAAAAACACCACTGTTTTTCCCTCAAGAGAAATCCTACAAAAGAAAAGAAAGCTGGTAAAATGCATTTGAACATCGAATATTACTTAATTTTAATTACTATAACACCGTTCAACTTCCACTTAATTTTTTCTTAATTGGAGAACTGCAAATTTTGTAAATGAATTCTTGGAGAACAATAAATATTTCCAAATTTATGATAAGTTATTTGTTTCAACCAAGAGTGCTAATAAAAGAATCTTTAGAAAAAAGTTTATAATTGGAGAAATAATATTAAGAAGCATAAACGTTTTTCTAAAGATACTCAACAACAATATCAACATGGTATCAATAATTGAACAAAGCTTTCAACTGAATAAAGTAGATATTAGTTGTAGCTTGAGCATGTAAACTAACCTTTACATTTTCCTTCCCATAAGCATGTCTATACCTCGGCTTTTTGGCAAAAAATACATCATCAAGACGTGTGTCATTGTATCTTGGAGCCCTAAACGATCCTGGTTTTTTAAGCCTATTGTCCATCTCAGCAGCTCTGCAACCATAAAGTCATTAATCAAGTAAATTCTCAGCAATTTATGAAACAATGAATTGAGTAAGAAGCGGTCAAAACTAACTTCGAGGAATCAGCAGAGGTCGACGATTCATCCGTATAGTCTACAAAAATCTCCCGCTTCAACTGCTCTCCCTGTCAAGTTATGCATAAACATCAATAAAAAAAACTTATCTACCACAATTAAATTTCAGTTATCAATAAGTTTGAAAACTTACCCTAAGTTCTGAAGGTGTCTTTCTTTTAGCAACAGAAGCACCTTTTAGAGGCACTGATGAAATTCCATGAGAACTTGGAGGCATAACGCTTGGTGTAGCTACTTTGGCCATTCAACATTCACGACAAACACTTAATCTAGCAAAACACATGCTCCAGATGGATCTACAAAAGTTAAAATCAAATTAACGAAATCAAAATTAGGGAAACTGAAGAACACGCTAAAATCTTGAATCGATATAGTCATGAAATGCAAATTGATGAATAGAAAGAATTGAGAAACAGAATCATGAGAAGAGACGAAGAAAAAAGAGGGAAGAAATTTGAATGTGGTGTATACCCTAGCGTGAGTTTTGGTTCGGGAGCAAGCAGTGTCGTATCAGTGGAGCATTGAAATGAAACACCACTGTTTTTCCCTCAAGAGAAATCCTACACAAGAAAAGAAAGCTGGTAAAATGCATTTGAACACCGAATACCAAAAGTGAGACTCAATCCAAGGTCCAAATCTATATAGAAATGACTTATAATGCTACCATGACAGATATGTTCTAAAGGCTGTTATGATTGTATCCTTGATTTTTAAGGCTTTACACCTATGTCTTTATTTCAAAATTTTGTTTTTTAATTGTTTAGGCTAGGGTCTCTTTCAGAATTATATACATGTCATCATGTTAATATATTATTAAAGTTTTCATATCCCAATATAAATCTTATTTTCTCCTTATTTCATGTATCCAATGTTGATTTGTCCAGAGAAAACTCATTTTATATCATGTTTTCAAAGATTTGTAAAACTTTGTAGAGTTCTCCACACAAAATATTGAAAACATGTAACAGAGTGAAATGCAATTGCTATTTTTACTTTAGGTTGTATGTGAGTGTGAGGCCCAAAACCAGAGTCGTTTGATCTGAAAAGGTCAAACTAAAAAGGTAAGTAGTAACATGAGAATTGTTTTTCTCTTATTCAACTTATATGCTTCTGGTAATATGTTTTTTTCTAACGTTTTGCGTTGGGGAAACTTTGAATGTTGGACAGAAGATTATAGGCACTGAAACCAACCTTGTGTCAGTTGGAAAAATAAGTGAACATGGCTTTTTTTCTCTAAACATCATCGATGGTTCACAAAGCTACTTAGGTATATGGTATCACATGTAAAAAGGGACAGAAGAACAACCTCAAAAACAAATAGTTGTGCAGGTTGCCATCAGAGAAATCCCTGTAGCTATTGGTTCAATTGGTGATTTCCAAATAGCAGAAGATGGGAATCTTGTTGTTGTAAACACATCCGCTAATGGTAAAACCTACTAGTCATCCAATTCCAATTCCAAAGTCAAAGTCTCTTCTAATTCTTCATAAAAAAAGGACAATAAAACTCATGGATTTGGTAACCTTGTGTTATTAAATGATGATGGACACAAGCAAGTGAAACTCTGGGAGATCAAAGTGTACGAAACAACAAATTTTCAAGTAAATAATGATCAATTTGATGACATCAGCTCATAGGTTTACAACTTGTTGACCAACTTTAGTTTACTTAGAATGAGTAAACTAGTTCATATGAAACAATATGATAATACAAGATTGTTTCTCAATTCTACAAGTATGATTCAGTAGGCAGATGTCAATTGGTTGGAAGGTGAATTATTGGTCAGATGGTAGCACAACCAATAACTACACAAAATGCATGTGTAACATATACTATGTCACGTGTATTGCATTCTTTTAGAAATGGAAAATAGCAAAGAACTTGAAAAATCGAAAGATTCACATATTAAAACACATATCAGACCAAAAAAAATAGTCAATAAGAAACACAAGAAATGGAATAAAAGGTAAAATGAAATGGAAAAGAAAAACCAAAGCAGAACAATAATAAACACAAAGAAATGAAATAGAAGAAGAAACAAAGTTGAAAATCAAAGCAGAACAATAAGAAGCAGAAAATCGTACCTTACCGGAAAGTTAATCTGTGTTCGGAATCTTCGCCGGGAAATTCATACCTCCACGAATTATGGGTTTTTAAAATCTTCAGTTTGAAAATTTTCGCTACTTTCTTCGCGTTTCCTCTGTAATTGTGTTCTCTGCGCATGCTATACTGCTTTCCCCTTGAAATCACGTTGTAATTTGCTCTAAATTTAGCCAAACGAAATGGATTTCATAGCTAGGGTTCTTAATTCCCTTTGTGTTTTTGACATGTTTTGCTTACAATTTGTATGATTTGAGATAGAGGATGATAGATGAAATTGGATTTGAGTGTTATTTTCCTTTTTTCTAACGGATAGAAAGAAATACATGATCAGAGAGAGATCGAGATCGAGAAGAGGGAGGAGAAGAACTTTCTGCATTTGTTATTTTTTTAACTTGTTTTTTTTTTTCTATTTTCATTTTTTTATATATATATTTTATTCTAAAACGTGAGATAGAGATTAGTGATTTTTTATATAAATTTTTTTTCTAAATGGTGGGATGTGTTAAATAATAATATAAAAAAATTTAAATATAAAAAATCATCCAAAAATATTTCCCTTTAAATGTGCAATATGTGTTAGATGATATAATAAGTATAAAAAATTATCTAACATATAATATAATAATATACTACTATATTATTATATTTAAATTTTTTCTAATAATATTTAGAGAAAAATATTTGTTTTTAGTGTATAAGTTTGAAGGGAAGATTGCCACCAAAAATTTGATGTTGCTAAAATTTTATGCAATATTGGAGGAATGTAACATTTTATTAGAACTAATGTAAACTAAAAATGTTCCCAAAAGAATTTAAGGGGACAATTATCAAACATTCCTAAAGAAATAGTATAATGACACTCCAAAACCGTCCCCAAAAATAGTGAAAGGCACAATTAACAATCGTTGCCAACAAAATAAAAGAGTGACAGTCTAAAAACGTCCCCAAAAGTATTTTAGGCAACGATTATCAAGGGTTACAAATATATTTTTGTCAACAACCATAAATTGTTGCCTATACGAATTTTAGGCAACAATTTTAACATGTTACCTAAAAAAGTGTTGCTAGAGACAACAAACGTTGTAGTGTACGGTGATTGAATTAAGTCATATAAACAATAAATAGCATGGCAAAGCTTATCCTACACACGATAAGAATTCGAGAAATACCGACACGCGAAAATTATTTCCTCTCTGTGTTGCTACCGTCGATACGAATCGTTGAGTTAACAGGATTCCGCTTCAGAGCACATATTCTGCAAGATATCTTCACAACGAGGCTACCGAGTTGCTCCCGAGAACGCGTTTCAATCCAAATCTTATCTTGAATGCATAACCTTCACACCTTGTCGTTGAACCTGTATATGAAAGCACCGTCGCCTTTACGAATTTGAAGCTAAAAAATAAATGCGAGCTCCTGCTGTAGCTGTGATTGGACTCGATAAAGATGACATTGCTGAATTCGTGTTACAGAGCTAGGCACCGTTGTTGTTGATGAGGTTATCGCGGCGGGATTGATGTTTATGGGGTTGAGGATTTGGGAAGAGATTGATCTGGGACGCAGTTAGCGATAGGGAAATTGGTTTGCTCGATGGGGATAGTGTGAACGAGATAACGAAGACGGTGATGATGGTGATCTAGGGTTTGATAACGATGGATTGAGTAAGATGATGAAGGGAGGGAAATGGTGGCGGCTGTGTTGAAGGAGAAGGAATACCTAGTTTTTTTAGAAGCTCATTTTAATGGAAGAAAGGGTATTGAAAGAAGGAGATACAGATGTTGTGGTGGTGGTGAGTCTGATTCGGGTTGGGAATGAATTGAGGGGCGGCGGCCGTTTAGGGTTTCAGAGGCGATGAACAGTGTTTATTCCCCCTTTGTCCTTCTGAATTCCCTTCCTCTTTAAATGCAACCAGACTCAGCCCTAACTGGCCACTAACCAAATGGGCCTGCTTCTCTCTTTTTTTTATAATTTTTTCCAACAATTAGTTAATTAATTAGTAATAAACAAAGATTAACAATATAAATTAATAATTAAAATATTAACTAACATGACTAAATAATAAATGAATATTAACAAAACAAATAAATATTAACAAATGTAATAAAATATAAACTAAAAAACAAAAATAAATATTAATTACTTAAAATATTTTTAGTAATATATAAAAAAAAGAAAAAAATTTAAGAAACTGAGAAAAATTAATATTCACAAAGAAGGTTCTTAGGCCACGTGTCACGTTTTAATTGGTCAAAAGATAAAGTTCTGAAAAAATCAACCAATTGTAAGCGGACACGTGTCTAAATAACAAGAAAATAAACGGGCAATGTAAAACAATGAAAGAATAACAAAAAACGAAAATATTTGAAAATGGGTAGGACAAATTTAGGGTATGACACTTGTCACGCATGCTTCACAATCAATGACATGCAACCTATTTGATTAGACGAGACAATGAAGGAATCTCCTTTTCACATGTGATCCTACATGCCTACATTGATCATGCAGGCCTACAAGACTCTCTTTCTGTATGCATCAGGACTTGATAAGACGGGACACTGCATCCACCATGCTTGATTAGACGAGACACTGCATAAAAAAGACTCTGCATCCAACATGCATTTACATCACATGCATCATGACATTAGTTCAACATGCATTTACACAACACATGCATGACGACACACGTCCAACAAGCATTTACACAACACATGCTTCAAGCCACTTGTGAGGCATGCATTTACAACATATCCACTTGTTGAATATAAATATAGGGTCTTTACCCATCAAATTCTACTCACACTTAAACTCTCATACTCTCAACCCTCATCTCTCAACTCTCAACCTCTTAACTCTCAACCTCTCAACTCTCAAACTCTCGACTCTCCATCTCTAAATCTCAACATCCCAAATGAAAATGTCTCTACTCACCATGGGTGACTCGCACAGAGGGACGGCTGAAAACATATTATACATGAAACACTTGCACCAAATTTGAACGAAAATCATATTTTATTATCTTCTCACTTTCTTACATTAATTAATTTATACATCAAATAAAATATTTTCAAATATATATCAAACATTTTTTAGTTTAAAATTGTTTTTAAAGTTAAAAAATATAAGTATTATCATAAAACTTTATT